GAAGAGTTTGTGTTCAAGAGGTTAATGACTGAGGGCTTTTGAGAATTGTGAAAAAGTGCTGCTTGGGTACAGGTCCTGGGCCAGATTTAGCATCAGGCAGCTGCAGAGCACCAGGGAAAGTAGCCCACAGAGAGCAGGCCGTCCACTAGCAAGGAGCATGGTTAAGCTGATGTGTGGCTGCGTGGCAGTGACACAGACACAGAGGACAGTGGAAATATCTTCAGCATGCCTAAAGAAAAACAGTCTCAGCCAGGCACTGGTAGATCACCTGTAATCGTAGCTAGTCGGGAGGCAGAGATCAGGAGGATCATGGTTTGAAGCCAGCCCAGGCAAATAGTTCGTGAGACCGTATCTCAAAAAACCCTTCATAAAAAAGGGCTGGCAGAGTGGCTGAAGTTGAAGGCCCTGAGTTCAAACTCCGTACCACAAAAACAAAACAAAACAAAAAAAAACCCAAACCAGCCTCGCTAGACATCCATTCCTAGCAAAAGAATCGTTCTTCCAAGGATAATGGTGGAAAAAAGGTATTTTAATTTTAGAAGCAACTACAAAAAAGTCGCCAAAGGTATTCAGGCCTGGTATTCTTGAGGAGTGAAGGGGAAGTGCTGGCATCTTGTGGTGACAGAACAGGAAGAGAGCCTCGGTTCGGAAGGAGCATGGGAAGGAGCATGGGAGAGTGCTTTGAAAGTAATAAGAGTGTAAGAAAATTGATTTGGCACATTTTAAAGCTGATGCATTTGTTGTTCCCCGCAGGCAGAAAATGTAATTCTTTGCAATTACATGCATGTAAATTAAAAAATTTCTGTGCTGGAAAAAAAAAAAAAACTAATCCCAACAAATGTCAAAAAATTAGAATCACATGGCATTTGTTTTCTGATCACAGTGGACTAAGTTAAAAATTGGTGACAAAAAGATAAGTAGAAAAACTCTGTACACCTGAAATGTTCAAAAACACTCTGAATCCTGAATCAAAGAGAAACTATAATGAAAATCAGAAATATTTAGAAGCAAATGTAAGTATTTTCATAACAGAATTTGTGGGACAATTTAAGTATTCTAAGATAAAAATGCATAGCTTTATTTTTTATTTTGAGTTTAAATGCACTTTATTTTTAGGTAACCTACTTGACATTTTTTTTTTAAACTGAAAATGTAGCTTTATGTTCATATTAGTAATGGAGAAAGGCACAGAATTAATGGGGATAGAATGGCATTACACCCAAATATAATAGAAGGAAGGGAGTCATAAGGATAAGAAAAAAAATTAGTGAAATAGAACATAAACATAACAGTGTCTATAAAGACAGAAGTTGGTAATTGAAAAGAGTAATAAAATAAACCAGTTTCTGGTAGGATTAATTTTTTAAAAAGAGGCAAAGCACAGAGTTAAGAATGATGTGACTGATTTGTAGACTCTGCCAACACAGTGAGAGGCTTTTGATCAACTCTGCTTACAAATCTGAATACCTACATAAAATGGATAAAAGAAAATTTGGCAAAGCTGAAGAATAACAGTAAATCTATAACTAGAGATACGCCTATCATCATGAAAGAAATTGAATCAGTAGTTAACCCCTCCCCACAATCCACTCAGAGGGGGTTACAGGCAAAGCCTAACACTTGCAAAACAGTTCCACTTTTACCCACAGTCCTTCAGAGAACAGAAAATAGGGAATATTCCTACTTATTTCTGTACCACTGTCACCTTAGCACCAAACCAGACAAAGACAGTATAGTGTGAGAAAAACCATTCAGGCCGGTGTTGCTTATGAATATTGATGTAGAAATTCCTAGGAAAGAATTACAAACCAGGAAAATATTTAAAAGATGAAGTACATCATGAAAACCTTCATTTATTTGAACCAAGCCATTTGAGAACTTAATATGTGCCCTATTAACAGATTAAAAGAGAATAATCGTGTACCTCTTAATGCAGGCAGACACAGTTCAATATTCATCAACCATTCATTGTCAATTTGGAATAATGGGGACCTCCCATAAACCAATAAAGGGCTCCTAAAAGGAGAAAGAAAGGTAATAACATGGTACTTAATGCTGAAGTGTTAAAACACTGATTCTGTAAGGTCAAGAACAAGATGAATACCAGTGATCAGCCTGTCTTTGTTTTTCTCTTTTCTTTAAATTAGGTATATTAATTGTACAAAGGGGTTTCATTTCAGTGTTTCCATACATGCATATAATGTACTTTGATCAAATTCACCCCATCTGTTGCTCTTTCTTATCCTCTTTAAAACAGTTCTAATGGATTTCATTATTCTATTTACATACGAGTGTGAAATACTTCACTCATATTCACCTTCTTTATCCCTTCTTTCCATCCTCTCCCTTCCTGTTGGCTCCCACCCCCAAATAGTCCCCAAGATTAAAGCATAGGTCTACATTTTGCATATGAGAGAGAACATGAAATATTTCTTTCTTGGCCTGGCTTATTTCACTTAACATGATGAGCTCTAGTTCCATCCATTTTCCTATAAGCAACATAATTTCATTTTTTAAAAAATTGATTGTATTGGAGTTTGAACTCAGGGCCTCAAGCTTGCTAGGCAGGCACCAGACCCACAATTTCATTCTTTATGATTGAATGATACTCCACTGTGTTTATATATCACATGTTCTTTATCCATTCAGCAGTTGCTGGATACTTAGGCTGATTTAGTAGTTTGGCTATTGTAAATAGTGGTGTTGCTATAAACATGGGTACACAGGTATCTCTGTTGTATGCTGATGTATTCCTTTGGATATATGCCCACCCAGGTGTGGTATAGCACGATCATATTATAGTTTTAATTATTATTTTTTTTTGTTTTGTTTTGAGGAACCTATATACTGATTTCCACTGCAACTGCATTGTCACCAACAGTGTAGAGGGTTCTACCCTTCCCACTCAAGCACATCCTTGCCGACTTTTGTTTCTTGTTTGGAGGGGGCAGCACTGGGGTTTGAACTCAGGGCTTCACACAGCTAAGCAGGCACTCTCCTACTTGAGAGTCCTTTTTGCTTTGGTTATCTTTACTTTTTTTTGATGGGGGGGTTTGTGAGGCAGTATTAGGGATTGAATTTAGAGCTTTCCACTTACTAGGCAAGTGCTTTACTACTTGAGCTACTTCACTAGTCTTGCCTTGGCTATTTTATTTTTCAGAGAGCTTCTCACTTTATACCTCGGTGGCCTGGGCTTTGATCCTCCTATTTATGCTTTCCATGTACTGAGAATTTCAGCTACTTGGAAAACAAAGGTAGGAGGGTTGCACTTCTAGACTGGCCCTGGCAAAAACACTAGATCCTATCTGAAAGCAATAGGATTGGGGGTATGGCTGAAGTGATAGAGCTAAGTGAGTCCCTGAGCCCAAGCCTCAATACCACTATCCCCCCCCCCCAAATTCACTGAAAGACATTAAAGAAGACTTAAGAAAACAGAGCTATCCTGTGATTTTGGTTTGGAAAATTCATTATTATAATGATAATGTTTCTCCCCAAATTGACATGGGATTCAATGCAATTCTGGTCAGAATCTCAAACAGGTTTTTGTTGTTTTAATCTTGCTTTTGTTTTTAATCTGATAAGATGATTTCATGGTGAATATGGAAGAACAAAAAAGGCAAGAATAGCCAAGACAGGTTGGGATTTGCTGTACCAGTTCTCAAGATTCATCACCATAACACGTGTGAGGATAACTAGGAGCGTGCAGGGATGGAGAGCCAGTGCAAAAGAACAGGAAACCCAGTAATAAACACCTGAAGACCTGGCTGAGCCCAGGAGGCACTGTCCACCATTCAGTGGGATTTCTGGAACAAGTGGGCGCTCTAATGCATGCTGCTGGGACAAGTCAGTAAGACAAAGATAAACCCTAAAGCAAGGTGGGTGGAAGACCCAGCAGGCACCTTATAGGAATGGAGCTGTGAGTGACCTGTAAGTATATGAAAGGATACACTTTATTAAGGAAGAAGGAAATGCTCCAAAATAACTTCAAATCTACCTGACTGGCCCAAATGAGAACGTAAGATGCTGTGAAGCCCCACGGAGGGGCTCACAACGGAGGTTGTGAGGCAACTCCCAAGGCAGCAGGGCTTCATAAAATGATAAATGAGCAGGAAAAGCAAGAGATTGCCTGGTACACAGCTCATGAAGGTTGGGATTGAGAGGCACTTTGTGGTCCTGGAAAGGCAGCAATGATGCTTAGACATTTGTTGTGCTTCAATGCAAGAAAGGAGGTGTATGATTTGTTCCATATTTTCACATTTATGCAAAGTACAGCATATTGCACCTGAAAGGGAATGATGTCTAGTGCTAGACGCACACAGTTGTGACCTGCTAAATCTTGTTGCTCAAAGTTTGAAAGTGTTTTACTCCTGTAGCTGATGAAGTGTCCAGCAGTTGGCTCTGTTATCCTCTGTATTCGGTGTTCGTCTGGCCCATTCCCTTGGCAGAATGGTTCAAGTGATAGAGTGCCTGTCTTGCAAGCTAGGGGCCTTTAGTTCACACCCCAGTACTAACACCAAAAAAAAAAAAAAAAGGGAGAAGAAGCAGAAACCACTCAAAACAGGTGGGAGAGGGTGCCTATGGGTATCTCTGGGGAGCTAGGGCAGAGTAGGGAGGGGTGCCTGGCTCCTCGTCTGAGGGAACACCAGAATTTGGGAGAGTAGGCTTGTTCCCCATAGCCTATTTTGCTCAGGGACCACCCCCACCTCCAAACAAGCCTCTTGTATGGCAGGGAGCATTTAGATGGTTTGTCAGCTGTGTTCTCTCTGGTTCTTACCAGAGGGGCTATCCCTGGTCATCCTGGCCTGACTCTCCTCCCTAGGGAGTGACAAGGGGCTTCGGCTCTGTCTAGCCTTGTTGCTGTGTCACACCGACCGCCCTTTGGATGGCCACCTCACCTGGCACAGGGCACAGACCCCAGTATGTCCCACAGTGTTTTCTCACCCCAGCGTATCTGAACTTAATGAAGTTAACCTCTGAGTTCTGATCCTGCCTTGCTACAGGTGCCAAGCAAGCTGCCTCTGTGGACCCATGGGGAGTGCCCACCACAGCCAACACACAGTCTGTCCCCAAGAGCTCAGACCCCTGGGCAGGTTCGCAGCAGCCTGCCCCTGGTGCTGGGAAGATAACGGACGCTTGGGGTGCAGCCTCTGCTGTCAAGCCTGGCTGTACTTCAGGTGAGCACCTTGATCTGCCTAGGCCCTGCGACTTCCCGCCCAGCAGCTTCTCCCCGTGCCTTGGCAGTGGCCTGTTGGGTTGCTGTGTTTTCTCCTTCTTTCTCTGCTTAGGCTTTGGCCCCAGTCCCAGATCCTGAACCACACTGGTGGGAGTGGGCACTCATCAACCCTCCTGTGTGCCTGTGCCTCCCTGCTCAGAAGCTTCCTGAGGGGGTATTTAGAGGTGTTGCTCTGGGCCCCAGCTACAAGCCCTGTTCTCACCCCAAGCTGGCCTCAGCACTCTCTCCTGTCACTTCCCACAGATCCTCACCCAGTGTCCAGACCCAGCTCAGTTGTGCCCCGCACTATCACTTGCCTCTTACATTTGAGTCAAGGACAGTGGCTGGCCAGGCTCCCTGCTCATTGCTCTCGCAGCCCACCAGATACCTGAGCCTATCCTGCTTTGTTGGCCCTGAGTTCTGCCCCATGAGATGGAATACCCAGAGAGAGCCCCGGTGCCTGACCACCCACTAGGGGAGTGGATAGAAACCCCCTCCATCACTAACCTCTCTGTTCCTGCAGGGTCCTTTGAGCTCTTCAGTAATTTCAACGGTACAATTAAAGATGACTTTTCTGAATTTGATAACCTCCGGACTTCAAAAAAAACAGGTAGGTAAACAGCTTTGGGACCTGTCAACGTCATTTTCTTCTTTTCATCTTAGGAGCCTAAAGCTTTTAATTTTAGGAATTCACACAGAAACGGAAAAGTCACAAAAGCCAGAGGTTGAGTTTTTCTTTGAACTTTTCTAGTGTTGAACAGGTATTTTGTGACTTGTTGCCTCTCCCCTGGAGCTGTGCCACCAGGTCAGCCAGGGCCACTAGCCTTCTCACCTTGTGTGGTCCACCCCAGGTCTTATCCACATGTCCAGTAGCCTTCTTCCTGCCCACTCCCCAGAGACACCTCCTTTCCCCAGACCACCTACCTCTGGGCATGGTGGGCCAGTTTCATTGTTCTCACCCCTTCCTGGTGACAGTTCTTGTGGCCCTGCTTCCAGGCCTCTGTCCATGCAGACCCTGGTCTGCTCCAGATAACAGCTTCCCTCCTGTGTGCCCTGAGCTAGGAGGGCTGGAGGTGCAGAGAAAAAGGGCCTAGCAGTAGAGGCAGACCCAGAATGGGCAGAGGGGGAGACCTGGGGTGTGTGCACACCCTGTGGACTTAGGGTAGCCAGGCAGCCTCTGTCCCATCTCAGGCCTCACCTCCCAGTACCCACAGCAGTATCTCTTTCTGTTCCCTCCCTCAGCTTCTGCCCTTGCCTTCCCCACTTCCCCACCATCTTCCCTTCCCTTCGATACCTCTCCTTTCTCTTTTAGTCCCCCACACCTCACCTGTAGCCACGGACCTGGCTGACCCTGGTCTAAGGTCTGAGCAGTCTGGCACTCATGATTTCCCATCCCATTCACCCCAAGACTCAGGCTGCTGGCCAGGAGACCAGAGGCAGCTTTGAGAACGTGCTGCTTTTCAGAGTCTTTTGCTTGATAGTTTCTTTTGCTCATCATTAAATATTATTCTATCCCTCCATTTTGGTGTTTGGTTATGTGGGTACCTAGTTTCTTTAATTCACCCATGGCTGTGTGTTCCCATTCAGGGCAGCAGGAAGCAACACTGCAGTGAACATGTGGTCTTGTGTATAGCTGTGCTGGCCCTGGAAGCCACTGGCCCAGGAATGCCTTATAGGGTAGGCAGCATTCAGCATGTGGTCTTAGTCCCTTACCCCCACACTCAACAGTACTGTCTTGTGTCTTGTAGCTGAGTCCGGGACCTCCCTGCCATCCCAGAACAATGGAACCACTACCAGCCCTGACCCATTCGAGTCTCAGCCCCTGACTGTTGCCTCGAGCAAGCCCAGCAGTGCCCGGAAAACGCCTGAGTCTTTCCTGGGCCCCAACGCGGCCCTGGTGAACCTTGACTCGCTGGTGACCAGGCCTGCCCCACTAGCCCAGTCCCTCAACCCCTTCCTGGCACCAGGTAGGCATATGTCTGGGCTTTATCTATTTGTTCTGCTTGAGGCTGGTTATGTGGCCTGCCTCTGGCCCTGACTTTGTTCCACCTCTCAGGACACTTCTGTCCGTGCCCCAACTGCGAGCCCTGAGCTCCGGGGGCTGGCTGGCCTGGGGCTGGGCAGGAGTGGAGCCATCAGGAACTCCGTGCTTCTACCCCTCTTTAGGATTGTGTGAGATGGGCACGAAAATTGCTGTTTTAAAGAGGGAGGGTGTGGGGAAAAACAAAAACAAAAAACACCTCTCTTTTCAGTTGAGAGCACCAAGCAGAATCTGCCCTGATTCATTGGTTCCAGCAGGAAGACCCTTGCTTGAGGGCCACTTCTGGGTCCAGTGAAGGCGGGTGGAGTGCTGGAGTGAGGAAGAACCAGGGTTTGCTACTCGGCATTCTCCTTGTGAGAGAAACTGTAACTTGGTACTTTTAACGAGCCATTATCGGGGAACCAGGTGATCCTTGCCACAGTGCCTAGCTCAGGATTCTGTTCATCCCCTCCAGGATCTGTACATTGGTACAGGACAGGCCCTTGGCTGCTTGATCCAGTTATCCAGGGCCCAGCTGTGCCCTCTTCTCTCCCCATGTGCCTCATGCCCTCAGCTACACCAGGCTTCATGATGTCCCTCAAACATTTACAAACCTTCTTCCCCTCTAGACTGTGACATCCTCCATCCCCTCTGCTTGGAACATCCTCCGTTTTCTTTTCTTCCCAAACCCAGCTCAGGTGATCACCTCCTGTAGGTAGTCTTGCCCCTCTCCCTTTGCAGATTCTCCAAGGGCAGGAGCGTGTTCTCCAACAGATGTCAGCGCTGCCCTGGCCCTAAGCTACAGGGGCTCTGAGAATCTCAATAGCCTGGCAGGGGACAATGACCACTAGACCTAGAGGGACTGAGGTTGGGGCTCTCAGACAGAAGCCCGGTTTTGGAGTTCCTGAGTCCCATCCAACTTTAAGGTCCTGATGGGTAAAGATGTGGCAGGTAGCCTGTGATTGGAACTGGGTACTCAGGCAGCCTGGAGCCCATCCCTGCCCAGGATACTTCTGCCTGCCTCTTCTGTTGGAGTCCAGAGGCCTGCCGGAGCCAGTGGTCAGCCTTGTCCCTCTGCTGTCCATGGCACTCTTGAGCCTTGGGGTAGCATTGTTGTCTGCAAACCCATCATGGACCCCAGGGACTGTTGCCAAGAAGGAGGCGGTTTGGGTAGGCCTGCCTGCTGCATCTCCAGGGCCATTCTCTGTGTTACACAGGAGGTCCTGATTGTCATTTGTGGAGTTGCAAGGAGAGCAACTCCATAGAGCTGCATTCCTGGCTCTGTCCCTTCCTGGTGGGGGAACTGCAAGCCCAGGGTCTAGCTTTGGAAGGAGAAACCCCCATTTCCATGAGGGTCAAGGTGTGGCAGCCTCATCTCTACAGTGGTGGCTTGGGGCTGCCCCTTGCCAGGCATGGTGGCGTTGGGTCGGAGGGAGTGGTGGTGGTGCTGGGCTGGGGACCAGCAAGAAAAGGCTTTCTGGTGTGAGGAAAGTTTGGTGAAACTGATTGGCTTGACAGCAGAACTTCCCAAGCCTTCATTTGCCAATGTGTGGGTCCCAGAGTGGCATGTGGACTGAAGTTCCCGCTATCCCCAGACCTCTTCTCTCCTTGGCATCTGTGGTCACAGCTGGACAGACAGAATGAGATAGCAGGGCAGCCATTTGCTGCTGACACTGACCTGGGCATCAGACCCAAAGAGGAGCTGGGGGTCTCGGAGCCTAACATGCCCCTGGCCATGGCCTTATTTAGATTTGACTCTGAACAAGTCATACACTCCTTCCTGCTGCAGTCTTGCCCTCCACAGGGTGCTTCTTGCAGTTAGTAGCCATTTGCTGGCATCTCCTGTGGAAGCTGGGGGCACACCAGGGACGGGACACACACAGTTCTGACCTGGGCTGAGAATCTAAGGTGAAGAGCCGGGTCTAGAGGGTGACTGCGCTCTGCCCAGAAGGGCTGGTGCCTTCCCAGCAGCTCACCCTCTGTCCCCTACTCTCTCCCCAGGTGCCAGCACCCCGGCCCCAGTCAACCCCTTCCAGGTAAACCAACCCCAGCCACTGACGCTGAACCAGCTGCGGGGGAGCCCTGTCCTGGGGAGCAGTGCATCATTCGGGCCTGGTCCAGGGGTAGAGCCCATTGCTGTGGCCCCCATGACCTCAGTGGCCCCACACCCAGCTCTGGCAGCCAGCAGCTCCTCTTTGACACCACTGGGCCCTGCAACAATGAACATGGTGGGCAGTGTGGGCATCCCCCCATCGGCAGCGCAGACTACCGGCACAACCAACCCTTTCCTTCTCTAGTGCCACCTGGGATCTGTCCAGAGCAAACACCTGGCGCACCTGTGCCAGAGGACGCCAAGTGGGGACTCTCTCATTTGTGGGGTGGTGGCCAAGAGTATGGTGGGGGTGGGGTTAGGGCTTTTCAGTTCCAGCTTCCTGGTGAAAGGGTTGTTGATATAGCCAAGACCCTCATAGACCGAGCGATACATGCTCTCCTCCTCCCAAGTGCTCAATTCCATACCTGCTCCTCTGAGGCCTTGGACAAGGAGGACAAGTTGTCAGTGTTGCCCTTGCCCCAGACCAAGGGTTCCTGAGACGCTGCCTAGCCCAGGACTTGGGACAGTCACCGCCTTGACTTTGCCCCAACCCCTAGCCCTAGGGAGCCCCCAGGCAGTCCAGGTATGGATGGGGTAAAGCGTGGGTCCATCTCACACTGACCTTTGGGGAAGTGGCTGCGCATGTTTTATTTCCTTTGACTCCTGTGAGTTCAAAGTAAACACTACCACGTGGACAACTCTTAAATTAAATCCACTAGAGCGAGCTTTAAAACTAATCTGAGCATAACCCTGCCACGTGGCTCTATGCTTGTACACGTTTGCACATATTTTGTTTAGTACAGTTTCATATTTGAGTTTGCAGAATTATCTAATAGTCTTTTTTTGGCTAATATTTTTATAATGTGGTTCTTATTTAACTGTCTAGTTTTGATAGAATTTACCAGGTCTTGCTGAATTGAGATCTTGGCACATGTCATTTTAGTGGTCTAAATTCTCTTATTTATGGTTTTAAATGTTAAAATTTTAAAAAAGAGATGCTTGGATAACAAAAATATGCCTTATGGAAAAACTAAAGCAAATTCTTTATAGGAAAAAAATATGGGAATTTGATTACACTAAAAAGACGATGTTTATTTAAAAAAAAAAAAAACAAAACTCCAACAGCAACAAAAACTCATAGCCTACAAGTTGCCTTTTCTTTCTCTAGCTCCCTTTTCTGGTGAATTACCAAACCAATTGACTCTTAGCCTTTTTGGCTAGATCCCGAGAGAAGCTTTTTTTCTTACCAATATACCAACATCTTGAAAGTTAAAGGAAAAAAAAAAAATCTAACATATGAATGTGACTCACCAGTTTTTATCAACTAATTCCTTCTTTAATGGGCATGCAGGGATTAACGTGGACTTGTGTTTACAGTGGACCGGAAGTGGAGAAACTCCCTTAACTTGTGGCTGTGTTCCCCGTCTCTGTCCATGCTCAGGTTAACTAGGGGATCATGTGGAAATGGTGGTGGTGGGGTTTCTGTTTCCATGGGTTCCTAGGGGATAGTCCCCAGGCCCAAATGGGTGAGGGACCAGGACTGGCCCTAATCTGCCCACCTGGCGGCTCCAGACCCAGGTTGCAGACTGAGAAGTAATCATCTCTTCTTTTGGAGACAGAAAAAGCTCATTCTTGCATGGGATGGGTTTCTAACAAACATGCACTAATATCATCTCCCTCTTCTAACTTCCTGCTGTCCTCACGCCATCCCCACGGTTTAAAAATTATATACCAGGAAAGACTTCTCCCCAGGGAGGGGACAGTCCCCTGAATGCTGTGTCCCAGCAGCTTGCCTGGTAGGCATTTCTGGTTCGCCTTGCAGTATAGACTTCTCACCTGCCAGTCCTCCGTGGTTCCAGATCTGACCCTCAGCATGTATAGGATGGGCTTGCAGTAAGTAGTCTCTGGGCTGCAGGAAGCCAGGTAAGCTGGGTGAGGACTAGCTACTCAGGCCCCTCTTGTGCCTCTGAGTGAGAGCTCCATGCTGCTTCTAGGCTCCAGGAGCCATGGACCAAGTCCCTATCAGCCACTCCTCCTAAGACCTTAGGCCTGGGGCTGGACAGTGGCTCCAGTGCCATTCAGAAAAGCTGGTGGCTGGACTCCTCCTGCCTGGGGAGGGATGGAGGCGCCTGCCCAGGATGGTGCTTCCCTCAAAACGGTGCAGGGCCTGGGCCAGCCTACAGAGCAGCATGTCTGCCTGGGGCCAGAGATTCTCCTGTAACAGCCAAGATCCCTTCCTAATAGGACTGAGGCCCTCCTTCCGGCCCAGGCCGTCCCAAGCCCACATTGTCCCTGTTGCCCACTGCACTGATCATGAAGCCACCGGCCACTGCACGCGTGTTGCACACATGCCACCATGCCCCCTCCTGATGAGTACCATGGTGGAGGAAGTCACCCAGCCACTTCTCAGTCCTAGGGGCCGGTGGCTGGTTTTGAACTTGTGTTGACTGTTGATACTTATTTACTGTATAAATATAATTTATCATTTGTATCATGATGCGGTTTCTGGCTTTGTCCTTTCCCCACTCTCTATCCATCCCATCCTACGGAGAGGGCTGGTGGGCTAGGGAGTCCTAGTGCCTCAGCTTCAGGGGAAGGAGGGGACTGCCACAGCAGGCTGGAGGGTGTGGCAGGGGAGCATTGGGTTCCTGGCCATGCCTTTATCATGGTGGAGGCCTGCTTTGAAGGAGGTGGCAGCTAGTGTGCCCACTCCAATATCAATTCCTGGTGTGCCTCGAGGCCCCCTGTGTTGTGCTTCCCTCATCCCTGCCTCAGAAGAGCTGCTCCATGAGAAGCTGCTGTCTGTCAGCTGGGCAGACTTCCTTTGTGTCCTCTGGTCACCAAATCCTCCACTCTTCCCACACATGGACAGAATGTCCCATCCGTCTCTGCATCCAGCTTAAAATCCAGAGTCTCAGTGAAGACAGCCTTCTTCAGCAAGGCAGACCCAGCCAGAGGCCTCTGGGGGGGACCAGGAAGGTAGTGGCTGTCTGGGATGTGGGAGTGGGACTTGGAGGGAGCAAACAAGAGGTTTGGAGAGAGAGTGTGGGAAGGAGGAGGGCCTTCTCCGAGGAGGCTGGAGGCTGGAGGCTGGGCTGAGGGTGGAAGGCACTGCAGTGGGGCAGAGCTGGCTGAGGTTTTCATGCCGAATTTGCACAGAAAGGAAGAAATTACAAAGACGTTGAAGAGACAACTAGAGTGCGCTATGATGGCTGAGTTCTAATATGGGGATTGAAGGACAGCAGGGCTGTCAGGAGGCAGAAGGGGGTTGGCAAGCAACTTTGAGGACCTGAATGGAACAGAGGACACTTGGATCCAGACTTTGAAGGTGATGCAGTTGCTGGAAACAAGCAGCTCTGACGATGGGATGGGGTGGCTGGCAGGGGATAGAGGTCAAGATCACTGCAAGTAAGGAGGCTGAGAAAAATGCCAACTTGGAAGATCATCCACATGGATCAACATCATCAAGAACAGCTGGAGAGGGCAGGGGCTTAGGTGGTGGCGTGTACCTAGCAAGCACTTTTGAGTTCAAACCCCCCAGTGCTGCCAAAAAATAGCTGGAGAAAAAGACTGAACAGAATAGGCATGTCTTTGGTGACACCAACAGTTGTGGTAAGGTCTGATAGCTTGGGCTTCCAGAAGCTGGGATGGGAAGGAGGGAAGTGGTGTGGAAACACTGACGGGCAAGGACACACCCCACTGAGGCCCTGTGGTACTGGGAATGTGAGAGGGGACAGATGTCACTCCAGAGGGCTGCAGGGGACAGGGTGGGTTCTGGAAGTAAGAGGAAGCTTTCCATTCAGAGGTGATAACAATCCTATCAATTTAGCTAGAAATAACTAGGAATACCGGAAAGCATAGTGAGCTGGGGGCAGGACATGGGAGAAGCCCTGGGAGAGAGGGCAAGTTCCAATGACAGCCCAGAGCAGTGTGCAGCCAGCTGGTGGCTGGTGGAGGTAGGGTCTGTGGCCTTGCAGCCCGCTGAGGGCTGGGCATGTCTGGGCCCAGGCACTACATGTGCTTGGAGAGCTCTGCTCCTATCCCTACAGGGCTCGCCCAGGCTGGGAGGAGGCTCAGGCCATGCCAGGGTGTGTGCACAGGTGGCTCAGGACCCCCACGGATGCCAGGGTATTGAGCTGTGAGGCTTGCAAAAAGCTGCATTGCAGCCAGCAGTCTCCCACCTCTGGAGGGTCTCTAGCTCCCACTCAGGCTGCAAGGGAAGGCAGACAGAGGGCAGGCCAGGGGCCACTGTACCTGGACACTTTGCCATCTAGCTCCTGCTAACAGGATTTTTGCCAAGGGAAGCTGGCAGTCATGGAGCAGAGTTTGTGCACTGAGCAAGTGGTTCTACTTAACTATATACCTCAGAGGTGGACAGTGTGCCCATTCCGGATGAGTGTAGGAGGCTGAAAAGGCCTCCCAGGTGTGATGGTTTGCTATCCTGGAGTGTAGCCTTTTATGACTTCTACCACCACCCCAGGACATACTCCCATGGAGAGCGGCGTGAAAGGAGAGGATAGCCCTAGACCTGGGGTATCTAAAAATGTGACTTTATTATATAAAACAATCCCATTGTCCCTAACCACCCCACCCCCACCCCAGGCTGCACTTAAGGCCAGTGGGTCAGTGGTAGATGGGAAGGGGGAAGGCAGTAAGGAGTCCGTAGTTACGGTTCCGTTCAGACTCAGGGTAACAGAAAAGGCCTTCATCGAGGGATGCCCTGGGGCGGGCTGGGCCCTAAGACACCCTGTGTGTCTGCAGGCCCAGTGTCGTAGCCCAGCTTCCTCATGTCCTTGGTCACCACATTGAAGAGGAGAGTGACAAATCCCTGGGAGCAGACACGGGTCACTAGGGACAGAAGGACAGCATCAGCTGGGCTGGGCCCAGGCAGAGGCAGACCTAGGCTACTTTAGGCATCTCTCGGCCTCACTATTCTCTTCTGTAAAATGAGGATGGTGCAGGCCTGCATTCCTCACTGAGAAGTCAAGGGGCTGCAGTGGGACAGATAACAACAAACCCTCCACTTCAGCCAGGCCCTTATCTGGGAGGTGGTCTAGGAAAATTCTTCGACTGGCTCCCATCTTACTAGGTCCCAGGGACCACTTTGTCCTTCCCCAGCTACAACCTGCCTCTGGATGGAGAGGGGGGGGTGGTAGCATCAAACTTTACCTTCCCGGCCTTCACCCTGAGCCACCACCTTGGGGTCTGTGTACTCAGGCCGCCGTCCCATGAACCAGCTGGGAACACAGGAGAACATGGGTGAGCAGGACCCTGTTGCTTTCAGACATATGTGGGCTCTCCTGGCTTTAAATGTTAGCATCCCTCCCCCAAACTGTCTCCTAGGAACCAAGTCCTGGGCAGAGCCTCCCTAGCACATCTGGGTCTCACTGCCTACAGAGGCCTCAGGTGCCCTGCAGCATCCCCCTCCCCCCCAACTGGCCAGGTAAGTGTCTAGCTTGTACAGCCCAGGCACTCTTGGATCTGAGCCCCTGAGGATGATCTGGGGCTGGGTGGGCTGCATCCAGGTAGAAATCCCAGAAAGGTGACAGCTGACTTGTGGGAGGGGAAGTGAGGGGACAGTGTGAACCCCCTACCCTCCTCTGTGATAAGGGCCCCACCACAAAGAAGGGCCAGATCTAGGCTGCCCAGCTTTGCTTCTGAGTAGTGTGGGGTGCTGGACAAGTCCCATCACTGAATCTCAATTTTGCCAATTAAAAGGATAATAATGACACCCACCTCACTGTGAGGTGAAGGCACTCAGCTGCTATATAAAACCCTACCCTTCCTAGGTAGGATTTGGCCCTGGGGTGCTTTGGGGACATCCGTGGCTACCTGACTCAGCAGTTATTCATCCCCCAGGCACTGGGCCCAGCAGTCAGTTTATCCTCACAGGAGCCTTGCTCTGCAAATGCCCAGTGACAGGCTGCAGTCTTACAGTGTGGTATCAGGGCTGGCGAGGGCTTTGTGCACATGGTTGGGGCATGCAGGCCCTGTCCCCAGCACGCTCATTTGAGTAGTGTGTACACTATTCCTAATGGGTACATGTGGTGAGGTAGGAACAGTGCCCAGGAAGACTCTTGCCTTGCTCGGCAGCTTCACCTGTGTTCCTGGGTCCCCTGTGTGTGGGTGGGTGTGTGATGGGGGCGCTCAGCCCTCTCCCAGGGCAGTTCCAGGCATGTCCTCTGGTGTCCTTGACAACATGACCGTTGACCACGCCTGCCACTGTCTCAGATGCACAGTACCTCTTCTACGGCTCTCCAGAGGGTCCCAGGGCAGGAGGTTATGGGGGGTACTACAGTGAGGGACCAGCAACCACTACTCATGGACTCCCAGTGTGAAGAAGAGGGAAGGCAGGATCTCTAGCAGCAGCTGTGTATTTCAGAAGAGACTGGATGAACCAGCTACCACTTCTCTTTACCTAGTTCCCCATCAGAGAGCAAGACTCTAAGGGTGCCCACCTTGTGGGTGGTTATGAGATCTGAGGCACAAACAGCAGTCCCTACCATGCAGGCCAATCCCACCCTCACATTTCCAGTCATCTCCTGGGTCTGCTCATCTGATGGTGAAGAGACATACTGTTCAGGAAAGAATGTTCCAGGCATAGCCTAAGACACAGCAGGACACAGTGGGCTGAGGAACACCAAGTGCAGTCAGATGGGAAGCAAGAAGGGGAGTGACCCCCACACCTGCAGGGCTCTGTGTGGTCTTCTGGCCTTAGTGAATCCTAGCTAGGTTGGAGGGGCTGCAGGAAGCTGAACTGGCCTCTAGAGGGATCGGGTCCTAGTTCCTGGAAACTGAATGTGACCTTAGGTCAGTTAAAAAGGCTGGTGGCTCATGCCTATACCCATCACAAAAAAGGAGTGGCTCAAGGTGAAGTCCCTGAGTTCAAGCTCCAGGATTGAAAAAAAAAAAAAGGTCTTTGTAGGCATGTTGTTAAGGACCTTGCAATGTAGATTATTCTGGATTACCCAAGTGATGAGCCCTTCCTGTTGAAGCATGCCAAGGGAAATGAGACACACCAAGGAGGCTGTGAAGGCAGACAGCCATGAGAAGCTGGAAGGGGCAAGGAACGGTCTCCCTGGAGCCTCCTGACGGGGTGTGGCCCTGCCAGCACCTGATTTCAGTCCAGTACTAGGAGTTTTGGACGTCTGGGCTTCAAATTGAGAAAATAAATTTCTGTTGTTTTATACCATCAAGTTTGTGGTAACTAGTTCCAGTGGGCACAAAAAACCAATATGGAGGTGAGAGTGCTGTGGCAGGCGGGCAGGCTGAGGAGGGATGGATGGGGAGGCAGTGGGAGAGCAGGGAAGGGAGCAGGTGGCTCTGCCTGACAAGTGGCCTCCTTGGATTCTGCGTCCAGGAAGATAAAACCCTGCCTTCACTGTCAGACCCTCAGGGTGGGTCCCTCAGGATCATGGAGCAGGGCAAACACCAAGCAGGATGCTGGATGTCCATGGGGAGTCAAAGCCCTTCCCCTTCCCAAGCCTGCTGATATGCTCTGGCCACTGCTTCCCTGACAGCCCCATTAATTAATTAATGTTAATTCTTACATTAATTAACAGGTATCTTCTTTATGATAGGGGAATAGCAAACATGGGGTTCACCCTTCAAGCACCCAGCAAAGAAAAGCCCAGGACCGATATGGTAAAGTGTTAAGCATTTCCATGGCGTGGTACTTATAGGTACTGTCACCTCCAGGCTTCTGCCCCCTGGGCCCTTCCCATAGGACCTGTGTTCTGGCCCTGTCCCCACCCTCACTCACCACCACACTGACTTCATAAGCCTGGGGTGTTCTTCCCCAGACATTCCCTGAGGGCTGCTTGGCTCCACTCTAGTCCTCCCAGAGGCACCCATGGTGAAGGTACTTAGTAGCTGGCTGGTCACAGCTCCCCAGGACCACTGTCACTGAAGGAGTCTGGTTGCACTGCTGGATTGTAACTAACAACACACTATGTTGTGAATATTTTCCTATCTGACAGGAGCTCTTCCTCTGCTCCATCTAACACAGGGCACAGAGGAAAACCGCATGGCCTGGTGCTGCCAGATGGTGGCCCATGGGAGCCCAGTGAAAGCCCAATGACTGAGCAGTCCCCCCTTCCCCTCCTATTTTCATCTGTCCACAGTAGGTGGGGCAGCCCGAAGACCTGGGAGGTTTCTCAGCACATACACAAACCACTAGATCAGAAGGAGGTGCCTGGGGCTGTAGGAGGAAACTCACCTAGTGAACTTCTGCAGTTTGGATGTAGACTCTGGCACAAACATGGGAATGGTCCTTTTGTGCCTGAAACATGTTTTCACACACAGATGTGGGAGTAACACAAAAGTGATGCCAGGGGTGCCAACAGGGTGCAGACAAAGTGGTGCTGGTCTCAGGCCTCAGAGGTCAGTCTGCAAGTCTTTCTTTTCAGGATCCACTCCCTGCCCTCCCCACCTGGTGTTTGGCCAGCAGCACGAGCCTGGCACTAACCCACATGGGTCTCCTCCCCATATGGGCCACACCCACCCAATGCTCCACCTAGTGAGCTGCCCAAGCTCCTGAGAACCTGGAGCATGGCTGGCCTGGGCCTAACATGGAAGAAAAGGGGTGACTGTCCCAGGAAGCCCTACTGAGTGAAGGTACTTTAGCCCCAAGGCCAGAATTGCCCAGTGAGGGACAGGCTGCAGGCCAGGGAGTAGGTCAGGAAAAAAACCTACCGGCCAGGTGAGAAGGGCACGTGCACCGCTCCATAGCCTCGGACCACATCATTCCCGAACACGTCTGGTCCGTACACGCTGAGCACGATCTGTGGCCCTTGGGAAAGACAAAGAAGGGTCAGCATGTGGGAAGCCCAGGGAAAGTGCAGGAGGTAGCAGGCCTGAGTCATGGGATGGTGCTCAAGGCTCTGGAGACAGTGGTAGGCTCAAGGGGGGACATGTTTTCACACACAGATGTGGGAGTAACAGAAAAGTGTCCAGAAGCAGTTCTAGACACCCTGTGCCAGGCTTGGGCCCCGGCTGCAATCAGGGTCAACAAAGGGCCCACTTACTGCTTGTTTCCTCTCTGAAGCAGGGGGTCACACTCAGGTGTGCACTGCATGGGCTCATGGGACCAGAATGGACGGGCTTGTTTTGGGGGTGTCTTGGAGAAGTTAGAGAAAGCAAGGCTTTCCAGACCTCCCTTTAAAATATTAACAATTATACCTGTTTCCTGTTAACATCCAGAGAGGCCATGAGGTGCCTCCACCCTGTTAGTTTCTCTGTCCTCTATGCACAGGGGGAGCTCATCGTCCCAGGTGACAGGTGAGGCTCAGGGAGAGCCCACCAGGCAGACTCCCATCTGTGGCCACTACCAACTGACCTTAAGTAAGTTACCTACCCTCTCTTGTTTAAAACCCTTGGAATAGTGTCTATGCAGAGAAAGTGCTCAAGGAAGGATGGAGAGGTTTGTACCTCCCACTGCTCCTCCTCCAAAGGAACTATGGTTCTGAACTTTACGAAACTACCCCTTCACTTTCCTTTAAGGCTTCCTTGCCAAAGAATGTATCCCAAACATGGTACTTTATTTTTACTCATTTTTTGGAATTTATAGAAAAGGAACCATACAGTATGTTTATTTTTATACACTTTTTTTTCTAATGGTTCTGGGATTTGAACTCAGGGCTTTGTGCTTGCTAGGCAGGTGCTCTACCGTGTAAGCCATGCCTCCAGCCCTCTTTTGCTTTATTTTTCAGGTGGGGTCTCATGTTTTTGCCCAGGCCAACCTGGACTACAATCCTCCTACCTATGTGGCTTTCTGTATAGCTAGGGTTTCAGGTGCATGCCACCACACCCAATTTAAAATTGTTGGTTGAGATGACAGACAGTCTCACTAATTTTTTGTCTGGGCTGGCCTGGAACTGTGATCCTTTCAATCTCTGTCTCCCAAGTAGTTAGAATTACAGGAATAAGCCACCAGCTGTACCCAGCCTTTTTAATTCAATGTTATGTTTGTGGGATTGATTCCGATGGTTTTATGTACAGAGAATTTGTTCATTTTCAATGCTATGTAATACTTGGCCATCAGAATTCCCACAATAGCTGCTCATGGTAGTGCTGATGGGCACACAGGCTGCTCCTCCTTTGGGAGCTATTACAGTGAGGCCCAGGTCACTGTGGTACAGGCTGTTGGCACACGTGTGCACACACTGCTGTTAGGTATAGCCCCAAGAAGGGAATCACACAGGTAGGTCAATGCACAGTTCTGAAAGGTCACAGCGCGCTGTTTTCCAAGGTGATCCCATCAATGTGTGCTCCCCAAGCAGTGCTCTCTGAACTCCTGTAAGCTACACCCTTGCAGACCTTGGCATACCAATCTTTTAAACTTGAGCTGTTCTAGGAAGTTAAGAGTGGTAGCTCACTGTGGATTTTATTTGTCTGTCTGTCTGTCTGTCTCTCTCTGTCTCTCTCTCTCTCTGCATTTCTGGTGCTGGGGATGGAACCTGGGGCCAGGCCAGTGTCAGAGGTATTAGTCAGTCTTTCCAAACACCTTCAGGGGACTCAGCAAACACTCCCAGGAGCAATGTGACAGGACTGCTTATCTGGATTTTTGGTTTTCTGCTGGAACTTGGCTTGGTAAATCTCCACTACTTTGCTAGCTCTCTGACACCTTCAAGAGTTGGTTTTTGGTTTTGCCTTTCAGTATTTTATTCCTCTCTCTCAGTTGTCCTCAGCAGGAGGAGGCTGGCCCACTGACTTGGGAAACCTACAGAAGATTTCTTGCTCATGGATGGAAGTCTGCACCCAGATGCACCAGCAGGCAGCCCTGACTCCAGATCCTCCGAACCCTGGGAAGCTGGGTCCAGGCCATATGCAGTAGAGAGACCCAGACTATGAAATCAAATGGACGTGAATTCAAATACAGACTCAGCCTCTAGAGGTTAAGCTGATGGCAAGGGCTGTATGGGAAAAGAAAGGGAGAGGAACCTATGCAGTAGAAAGGAGTAGGCAGTGTGGACAGGCCATATGGGAAAAGTCTTCCCAGTCCTAGGGAGCCTGCCCCACTTCATACTCAGCAGACGCTAAGATACAGTGAGCAACTAAGATGGTTAATTACTACCAGATAAGGCTGGTAGTAAACACTGTAAGCAAGGAAGTTCTTGGGAAGGAGGTAGACGGAGGATGTGGGAAGGGTTATCCGGGCAGAGGGAACAGCATGAACAAAGGCTCAGAGAGGGCATTTGGGGACCAGCACAGGAGGAACAAGTAGCTAGGCCTGGCAGGAAAAGTTGAGAGACACAGAGTCAGAGCTCAGGGCCTGGCTGCTATAGCTCTGTATACCAGGCTTGAGAATCTGCCCTGCCTTCCCAGGCACAGCACCTGGCAAAGGCTTCAGACTGGAGCCTGACCTGAGCTACTGCCAGAAGGCCAAGTGCACAGCCTGCAGAAATGAACTGGGGTGCAGGAGGCGAAGGAAATGGGCAGGTGGCAAGCACTCCAAAGGCTGTGCAAGAACCCAGATGCCAGGCAGTGGCCATCTGAACGTGGGCAGTGGTGACAGGAGGCGGCAAAGGCTGTCTTCCCAGAGTGCCACATAAGAGCTCAGCCCCGCACCCCCGCAGACTCACAGCCATAGGGGTTGGTGCTTTTAAAGGTGATGTCCATGGGGAAGTTCCACACCAGTGCTCGCCGTACATCCTGGCTCTTGGATGCGATTTGTGAGATCCCTTCCTCCAGACCCTGTGGGGACAGTGACAGAGACAGCTGGTCTGAGCTCCAGGGGCCATGTCCCTTCCCCTTACCTAGTATAGGCAGTTGGGAGGGCTGTTTCCACAACTATCTTCTACCAAGACTGGAACTTCCAACAAAGGGAATTAAGAGATAGTGGAGCACCTCTTAGGTCTGGAAACCTTTTTGTTTGTTTGTTTATGAGACAGGGTCTTGCTATGTAGCCCAGGCTGTCCTCAAACTCACAAGGCTCAGCCTCCTTAGTGCTGAGATTATAGGTATGCAAAACCATGCCTGACTTAGATCAGGTAGTTTAATTATCTCATCAAGGTGTGACAGCCTCTGGTGGCGGCCAGCCCCTCCACCAGGTACCTGAAGGAAGTGGCAGCAGTACTTGCAGGCTCCTGTGTCACTAGTCTCTCCCAGACATTCCCATCGGCATTCACATGTTATTTTCTCTGTCACCACTAATCCTCTCCTGACTCCATACCTGCCAACCCCATTTCCTGCTCACCACATATGGCAGACTCCTTGGAAAAGGTGTCTCTCTCACCACCTCTGATGCCTCTCTGCTGTTCTTTCCTGAACGCACTCCTGCCTGACTATGGGCCCCACCACTCTACCACAGGATTTTGCAAATAACACCCATGACCCTGTTCCCAACAGTCCCTTCTCTCTTCTCACTGTACCTGACTCATCAGCAGTATTTGATAGAGCCAATCACTTCTGAAAGTTGATCTCTTTTTTTTTTTTTGGTAGGACTAGGATTTGAACCCAAGGCTTTGCATTTGCAAAGTAGGAGCTCTACTGCTTAAACCAGTCTGTTTTTTTTTTTTTTTGCTCTGGTTATTTTAGAGATGGGATCTCAAGAATTATTTGCCTAGGATGGCCTCGAACCACAATCCTCCCGATTTTAGCCTCCCAAGTAGCTACGATTACAAGCCTGAGCCACTGGAGGCCAGCTTTTTTTCCTTTTCTTTTTTTTTGACACAGTGTCTATGTAGCCCAGTCTGATCTTGAACTTGAGATCCTCCTGCCTTAGCCTCCCAGTTGGTGGGATTACAAGCATGTACCACAACACCTGGCTAATGTGCCTTTTTTTTTTTTTAAAGTCTTTTTTAAACCTAATGTCTTATTTTTTGTATTTTTATTTATTTATTTTTTAAAATTACTCTTGTACTGGGGGTACATTATGATATTTACTACAAAAGTACTTACAATGTATCACAGTTGAATTCCCCCCCTCCATCATTCTCCTTTATCCCCCCCTTCCCCCATTCCTGGAATAGTTTCAACAGGTCTCATTTTTCCATTTTCATACATGAATACATAGTATTTCTACCACATTCACCCTCCTACACCCTTTCCTTATATCCTCCCCCTCCCTGATCTGCTTCTTGATGTGCATTTTCCCTTGGTTTCTAGGGCGGTGGTCTCTGGAACTTTCTGTCTCGGGGGTGACTCCTGCTCAGCTTCTGTGGTCAGCCCCTCTGGGATGCTAAGTAGTGTCCTAAGTCCCCATCTTTGGCCATTTCTCCACCTGTACTTGGTGATCTCACTGGTCACCTAGCTTTCAATGTGGTCTGCAGGTGGATGAACTTCAATTTTATGTCCTCTCTGAGTCCCAGATTCAGCATCTCCACGTGGATTGTCTTAACACCTGGCTGAGCTTGACTTCTCCCAAATTTGCTCATGGCAGTCTTCTCACAGAGGCAAGGGCTATGTGCCTTCCAGGGGCTCAGGCGACCCCTGGGCACTCTTCTTTACTCTACACTGGTCCAGCAGGAAACCAGTACTTGAAATTCAAGTCACCTCTCACCACTCCACTGCTGCTGTGCTCTCTTCTGTGTCACTGTAGTCAGTGGTCTCCCTGCTCCTGCCCTTGCTCCCAGTCTAGTCTTAGCATAGAAGCCAGAGGGTACTTTTTAAAACACAAGTCATACCCTTTTTTCCTCTGTTAAAAACCCTCTGATGGAGCTGGGTGTGGTGATATACACCTGTAACTCAGAGGCTGAAACAGAAAGGGTTCAAGGCCATCCTGGGTTACACAGTGAGATCCTGTCTCAAAAAAAGAAAGAATAAAGAGAGAGAGAGAGATGACCCAAAATACCCCAAGCCCTCTGAAGGGGTCCCATCATCATCCCTGGGTAAAGATCCTGGTCCTCACTCTGACCTACATCTGGCACTGTACTCCCTGCTTCATCTCCAACTATTTCTGCCTTGCTCACTCTGTTCACTGGCCACACTAGTTCTTCACTGTTCCTCAAACACACCAGGCACACTCCTGCCTCAGGGTCTTTGCACTCTGCTCCTTCTCCCCGGGGAGTTCTTTCCATGATTTCCTCATGGCTCGTTCCTTTGCTTCTTTCAGATCTTTACTCAAAAGTCACCAAGGTACAGCCTTCCCTGGCCATTGTATCTAGATTCCAACCTCCTTCTTCCTGACTTCATTTCCTTCTTTAGCACTTAGCACTGGCTGACATACCAAAATTGTACTGCTTTATCCTATTGGTCTCTCCCATAACAACTGTACTCCAGAAAGCTAGGGACTTTTGTTTGGCTTTGGTCAACACCTGGAAGACTTGATAGTAGAGTAGTTATTCAATGAGTGGCTGGTGGAAAGTATTAACATGACAGCTTCCAGATGAGGAACTGAGGCTCAGAGAAGTTACATAAGTGGGTGTCCTCTTCTTAAACTGCTGTGAGAACTAAGCAAGTACTTTGCAAACAGTACAACATGGTGGTTGGCAGAGGTTTTCACCACAGCCCCCTGCCTCTGCGAGGACAAACTGTTCTCTAAGCCTGTGATAAGAGCCCTGTTTTCTCTTTGTTCACTTCCTGTGCTTTCTGCTGGCTGATGAGGGGCCACGTTGTGGGGGGGACTGACCCAGAGTGTTTGCAGCTCAGCCACGTCCAGGCTGCTCTGCAGGGCCTGCCTGCTGCACTGCCATGAGTCCCTCTTGGCTGTCACATGCAAGCACACAGGGTGAGGCATGTGAGTGAGCCTAGTGGTGTCTGTGTTCTCTACTCCAGCTTTGCCAGGAACTAACTTGTATAGGAGTCCTCTCTGACCTCCACATCTATCTCTCAATTGGTTCAGGAAGGGAAGGATGTGATGAACACTTTCAGAAACCCCAGCAGTCACAAAGGCCAGGAGTAGGGGGACCAAGAGTCCAGCTTACCGCCGTGGGGGCCCAGTCCTGGCCGTACACAAAGCAGTACTTGCAGTACAAGTCGTCATATTCTGGAAACTGTGGGAGAAACACATGGGATCTGTCTGCTGGAACTCAAGTTGAGGCCCAGGCACTAGCTAGGTAGTGTAACTCGTAGGACTTCTGAACATGAGCCACCTGAGTGGGGTCTAAGATACAGCCGGTGGGGGGCGAGGGGGAAGGGGTAGACATGGAGCTGAACAGGGCTGGGGCCTGAGATGTGGGAGTCTGAGGAGTGTCCCAGGTTGCTATTGTTCCTGGGCAAACACTGATATGCCCTTCCCTTTCTATCATCTGGCAGACTCCTGCATTGACTCCCAGACTGACTTAAGGGTCACCTCTTGGCTCCTTCAGCCCCTGTGATTCCCTCCATCAAAGCACCAAATGCCTATGTCTGTCAACCCTGTTTGACTGTGAAGAGGGTACAGGTTTCATGCCTATGTCCCCAGTGCCTGGCACAGGGTGAACACTGACCAGATGGAAGGGAATGGTGAAAGTCTGAGAACCCAGGAAGCCATCAGGACAGAGCATATGCTTGGCTGGAGCTGAGGGCTTGGCGCTCCCTGTCACAGGGAGGTGTTAAGAGCACCCACCCCAGCTGGAACCTCTAATAAGACAGAACAGAATGGGGGAGATGATCTTGGGTATCAGGCTAAGGTGGAGGTGAGCAGTATCCCTGATGAATCAGGAAGGCAAGAGATACTCTATGAAGCACTGGACCTGGCAGAGCTTAGTAAGATTTCCCAGTAAGAATAATAAATTATCATCAACAAACAGCTTGAAGGACAGAGTAGCAACTCTTTGACTGTCAGACAGTCCTGGGTTCAAATCCCAGCTTGACCACTTCCTTAGGGCAAGATTGAAGCTGTAAAGTGGAACGGCTGAGCCTCTGTATTTCTGCCCGTGATTCAACCAAGTGTGACACGATGGAACCACAAGCCAGTGACCTCCGTGTCAGCTCAACCTCTTCAAGTCTGTTTCACACCTACACATCGAGACTAAGGAGCCCAGCAACCTGGCACCAAGCCTCACAAATGCTGGCTCTCCTCCCGCCTAATTCGAAGGAATGGTACGGCTCTGCAGGGGCTTCGCTGCAGCCCGCGGGGTTGAGGGAAGGGATCCCGGGGAAAACTGGAGGGTGACCCTGCACAGTAAACGGTCACTTACCTGGGCGCTCTCCACCTGCCCATTGACCATGAGCAGGAAGACGCTGGGACTCGCGGCGGCCATGGCAGGGTTATAGGCTCCGGATTGCTAAGAGGTACCGGGGTTACCTTGGAAACAGACGGCGAGGAGCGTGGGACATGTTTCCTGGCAGCTGCAACTTCGCGAAATACAAGTACGCCTGTGTGTGAAGGTGCGCAGGCGCAGTCGGAGAGTGCCATCGGAAAGGGCGGGACTTGTGGGGGCGGGGCTCCGCGGCCCGACGTCGCCCGGGGGCTGGGAGGGCGGTCCTTCCGGTGTGCAGACCCAGCCCCACCGTCGGATCACAAAACACCCGCAAGGGAGCGTGTGTTATTGTGGTTTGGCCCAGCCCCACACCAATGGCGATGGCGGAAAAGATCTGGGTCGTGGGGAGAGGCGCCCCAGACGCAGGCCTCCGGAAGCCACGTGTTAGAAATACTCATTGCCACTAGGTGTCACTGTGGCCCCACTTGGAGGGCGGCGGATGCGGAGGTGGCTGCGTGCCGCCCGCTAGGGTGACCGCAGCGCCCTAGGCTAAAGTTGGAAGCCGGGTGGTCAGACCGGGGCTCTCTGTCTCAGGTGAAGGGGATGCGTCCTTGTAGTTTTTGAGACCCTCGCCCCCCACAAAAAAATTTTGTGACAAATTTGGAAGGGACCTCAAGAATCCTTGCATCCAAGCCACCGCTTCTTAATGTGAAGCTGGGGAAACTGAGGCCCACGGAGGGGCAACACTCGGCACCCCAGTTACCCAGTGCTCGGGGGAGTTACTGGCCAGAGCTCACGGACCTGTCAGGGCTCTGTTCAAATGACAGTTACTCCCGGGCCATTGCAGCCACCTCAGTCGACACAGCTGTTAACACGCGGATCCGGCTGCTATCAGCCGGTGCATTTGCACACTTACTGTTGTCCTAAGTCGGCCTAACGCTGGCCTCTCCGGCTAGACTGCCAGCTCCATGAACCGGGGGACCCCAGGCATCCTTGTTGCCTGGCACGCAGTAAGCACTTGGTAACTACTTGTTTAATGAACAAATAATTGAATACATCTCCATTTTACAGAAGAGGAAACTGAGATCGAGGTGGGGAAGGTGACATGGCTGCAGTCGCAGCAATTTACCATCAACGTTAGGATTCACATCCAGGACCTCACAAATGAAAGACCCTCACTCCTCTGCTTTTTCCTCCAAGTCCAACAGTATCTCTTGGCCAGGTGTCAAAGGAAACTTGATATGGGGCAGGGCAGGGAGTTTCGAAACTTGGTGGCTGAGAACCATGGCTTGGATGTTGATTAAGAATCATATCCTGGACTGGCAGTGTGGCTCAAGCAATAAGAGCACCTGCCTAGCAAGAGTAAGGCCCTGAGTTCAAATCCCAGTGCCACAAATACAACAAACCCACATCTCATACTGCTGTCGTAGTGGCTTGTGATACACTTCAGTCTTCCTGACCTACAGCCCCTGGAGCCTGTGGAAATAGCCTCATTTTGACTGTCCGAGGTGAACCCCCCACCCCCATCCAACATATGAGAGGAGTTGATACATAGCCCAGTCTCCAAGTTAGTGACACATAACCCAGTCAGGACTGACCACCTTCATGTCTACGGACACCAATAAAAGCTTGAAGTCTTGGACCCTCTCAAGCAGCACTCCCTCCTGAACCTGCTCCCCTCCTGTTGGAAAGGACATTTTGCTTTGCATTAATGAGCCTGGTCCTGCTTAAGTCTCCGTGTCAGTCCTTAAATTCTTTTTCTGATGAGACCAGAATTTTCTGGTCCCAAAACACAGATATTCAAATCCAGTAACATACTTTGGTGAGCCAAGACAGTAGACTCAAGGAGATCCCTACTCAGGAGCAAGTGACTTTTCTTCTCTGACTCTGGTAAGCCTATCTGATTCCTTATCCATCTGGGGGAGTCACCCTTTCAGTTTTACTCTCATTCTGGACTGTTATCTAACAAAACTTGTGCAGGAGTTATTTCCTCTCTCCTGTGTCTACAGAGGCCAAATAATCACTCTCAATTTGCCTTTTGTATCCTAAACTGTAACCACAGGGGTAATTGTAAAGATTTTGGGCTCTCTGTATATTTTCTCTCCCTTCTGCTGACTTCTTGCTTGTACTAAGAGAGTTTTGCTGTTCAAGGTCATTTGGAAGTTTTATCTTAGTTGGAATGACTTTCTGTAATTTAGACTCATGTAAGACCAAAGGAAAAAAATGTGTAATGCACCTTTTAGAAACCCAAGAAGAAGCAAAGTTTGCATAAGACCTGCAGCAGTGTGTGGACATGTGAGTTTTATTCATTTCATTCTGTCATAAATATAGTTTTTATTAAAATTGAATGTAAGCCAGGCGCCGATGGCTCAAGCCTATAAATCTAGTTACTCAGGAGACAGAGATCAGGAGAATTGCAGTTCAAAGTCAGCTCTGGCAAATGGTTCACAAGACCTTATCTCAAAAATACCCAACAGAGAAAAGGGCTGGTGGAGTGGTTCAAGTGGTAGAGAACCTGCCTAGCAAGCCTGAGGCCCCAAGTTCAAACCCAAGTACTGCAAAAATTAAAGGTAAAAAGGAAACAGTAAATAGGAGGTGAGGAGATGTAAAGAAGGAGAACATTTTTGTATAAAAAACGGTTTTGTATGTAAATAACGTTTTGTCCTAAAAGCAAGGATTGCTTCAAAATGGAAATAGGCAAAACCAGAAGGCTAAAAGCATGTCACACAAGGATTATGATAGGGTTTATGATAAGGTATAATTAATTTTAAAAGCCAATACTGTGTTGATAAATTTATAAAGGCTCTCTAAAAACTTTCTCTTAAACTCCAATCAAACTGGACACAAAAAATACTTCGTCAATATCCTGTCTGAGACAACCCGCTCTTCTCTATAAAAATGTGTCCTTGCTTCTTCTAATAAACTTTTCTATTTTGGGGGGGCAGGGGTGGTGGTATTGGCTTTTGAACTCAGGGCCTCAGGCCTGGCATTCCACCATTGTAGCCTGTTAGTCCTGAGGCTGGCACTTTGTAGAGTAGGGTTGATAGGTAGCAGCTGGACACGAGCGGTACAGACAGACAAAGGGAACGCTAAGGTTCAGTGTGTACATGCTCAGAGCCCTGCTCTCTCTCTACGGCCTGCTTTCTTCCAAGCTGCAAGCTAAACTTTTCTAGACATAGGCTTCTGGCTCAGCATCCTTGTGAAACCCCAATACTACTGAGAGGGAGGAGGCCTGGTGTGGCCTGGTAAGAAGGCCTGATACAGCCAGATCCTCCTCCAGGTGAACCTTGCTCTAGAATGCAGATGCATCATTTATGGCCACCTGCATGTGGTCTCAAGAAAAGGGAAAAGGCTCTGGTCTAATCAGTTAAGGTGGGCTGCTTCGATGGGGAGTTGCCTTTTGTCCACTGCCACGTCACTATAATCTCCTTGTACTCTAAATTTTTCTTCACCCCCCCCACCCCATGGGGTTTTCTTAGGTGGTCCTGGGTCATTGTATGCTCAGTGATTCTTGAGATGTGTGTCAATCACTCCCTGCAGGCTGTTCTTAGAGAGGGACGTGATGCTCCAAGCCCCCCAAACGTCAATAAGAGACTGTGCTGGGGTGTATGTGATAGTTGGCCTCTTGTTCTGAGGTGACTTACTTTCACCTCTAAAAGTGCCTTTTTCTGTAAACTTTGATCTGCTTAGTAGACTTTGCTATACTTTGACTACATTTCACATCCTGCTTGAAAGCTTCTCAGGCCTGTAATCCTAGCTGATTACACGAGGCAGAGATTAGGAGGATCTCCATTTGAAGCCATTCCAGGCAAATAGTTGGAGAGACCCTATCTCGAAAAAACCTATCACAGAAAAGGGCTAGTGGAGTGGCTCAAGGTTTAGGCCCTGAGTTAAAACTCCAGCAACCCCCCCCCAAAAAAAAGAAAATAAAAAGAAATCTTCTCTTGTGTGAATGGAAGAACTGAGGACCCCAAAAGAACCAACTGGTAACAATTAGAGACCCTATCTAGGATCCAGGAAAGGAAGGGATGCAAAGATGTGTAGACTTCAGGGTGGCCCGGCCCCCAGCATGGGTGCCAGGTCATCACATCCTGCAGCAGCCAGCTGCCAGCTTGTGAGCAGACGAAGGAGTTCCCAACAGCCACCTGTGTGGGAGAGAAAAGGCAATGGTCACAATCCAGCTGGGACCCACTGAAGCCCCTCCCCACAGGTGAGTCAGGATACCTGAGGGGAAAGGTGCTGTGTGCAGCCAGGGTCACACGCCCCACAGGAGAGGTTGTGGGGGGTGGGATGGACTGGAGGCCTGAGTGCTGTGCCACTCCCCAAAGACTTGCATGGATTCCCCTCCTCCCCCTCTTGCACTGCCTCCTTTTAGTTACAATGTTTTCTCCCACAAATTCTACCATTGTCACCCAAATCCTTCCTCCCTGTGGCCTTTGAGGCTTTGTAGTGCACAAAAGTCAGTTTTCAGCACAGCACTTGTGTTATTAAATAACCAGGTAAATCCAGTAGTTTAGAACTTGGCTAGGTCCCACCCCCATTCGAACAGGACGCAATGGGGGAGTCTTCCCAAGGGGCAGGAAGCTCTGGGGTGTCCCTCAGAGGTGCAGATAAGCCCAATCCCTGGGCGTGGAGAATGAGGAACCCCGGGGTAGGGTGGAGGGGGTGGCCAGGCCTAACTCTCCCAAGTCCAGTGGCATCAGAAGAGACTTCAGAGGAGGGGCCTCAGGAGCTGGCTCAGGGCCTGCTGGAATTCCTAGCACAGTTCAGGAGTTGGGGTGTGGGGGTGTCTGGTGCATGGGGAGCCCTCGGCAGGCTGGCCTTCAGGTGGGGCAGTCTGATTGGAGGTGAAGGGCATCTTTGCACGTGCTGGTGTGCTTGTGCTTTTAGCAGGACACTGCAGGTGACAGGGTATGACACAGGGGTCTGCACAAGGTGGGGTAGACCTTCAGCCTGGGCTGACATGCCGTGGGTTTGCACCAATCCAGCTGCCTAGGTGTCAACATACTGCCAGACTTCCCTGCCACCTCTGCGAAGTCCTCCTGCCCCAGATGCCTTTCAGGCTTCGTCCTGTCACTGACAGTCCTCATTCCCACCTTGCTGGACTCTCACAGTTCCCCCAGGAAGGCCTGAAGCCCTTTG